GGAAATGAGTAAACAAACACAACTTAAGTAATATTCAAAATGAAGCAATCATAAATTATTTTTAAGTTCAAATGATTTATTATTATTTTATTTGCAAATACATTTCATACAAATTTTACAAACAAAACGTTTTATTTAATAAAGCAAAATAGCTGTTTGAAATTCACATTCGAATCCCATTAGAGATCAACTTTAGAATTCGATTAGAGAAATAATATCTTCTAGAGTCGAGAACTATGGGCTTGTTCGAGTTGCAATCACAACCGCAGTGTTGCGCGAATTATTAAAGTATCACGTTCTGTGTGAATTTCAAGCAATGTATTATCAGTTGGGTAGTTGCAACAATGTTGCCATTTTTCGTCAGTACGGCAGTAATGCCGCTTTTATTACGTGCCTCGAACAGGCCCTATGTCCCATTTTTGTTGAGATCGGTATGAGTCTCGATAGTTTTTCGAGTCCTTCTCTAACTTTTGAGATTGGACTAACTAACCTCAATGTTTGCTGGGCATTATCTTTGCCACTGGGAATAGGAGGGAGATTGGTCGGTAAGGGTCTCCTGCGTCCGCCTTCTTACCTGGGTTAAGGAGGGGAATGANTAGTTGCAACTATGTTGCCATTTTTCGTCAGTACGGCAGTAATGCCGCTTTTATTACGTGCCTCGAACAGGCCCTATGTCCCATTTTTGTTGAGATCGGTATGAGTCTCGATAGTTTTTCGAGTCCTTCTCTAACTTTTGAGATTGGACTAACTAACCTCAATGTTTGCTGGGCATTATCTTTGCCACTGGGAATAGGAGGGAGATTGGTCGGTAAGGGTCTCCTGCGTCCGCCTTCTTACCTGGGTTAAGGAGGGGAATGATCCTACCCATTTTCCACATCTCAGGGATGATCAGGGTGGACAGTGACAAGTTGAAGGCTGCTGTGATATACTCGACTCACGCTGGCCCTAGCTTTTTCAGCATCTGCATCGAGATTCCGTCAGGGCCTAACGCCTTGGATGCCTTGGCGTTCTTTACAGCTGCCTGCGTCTCTTCTGGTGTAAATCACGTTAGTGTGTCTCGGGGCGGAGTTTGTGTGCTTTTTGTAGCACACTGCTTCGCGCTATGGGACTACAGCGGCCAAAAGTAGTAAAAACGGATTAGCGAATTCTGATGCATAGTAATTACGCAGATGCATAGAAAAATATCCAGCTAACTCAAACCAAAAANCTTGGCGTTCTTTACAGCTGCCTGCGTCTCTTCTGGTGTAAATCACGTTAGTGTGTCTCGGGGCGGAGTTTGTGTGCTTTTTGTAGCACACTGCTTCGCGCTATGGGACTACAGCGGCCAAAAGTAGTAAAAACGGATTAGCGAATTCTGATGCATAGTAATTACGCAGATGCATAGAAAAATATCCAGCTAACTCAAACCAAAAAGAATTTTTGATAAGAATGCATATTTGCAATCATAACACGAGCTTAAAGTAGGAGCAATGCGAAAAACTAAATTTGTAAGCAAAAATTTTGATTTTGTCGCAAGTAATTTGAATTTATTTGCCACTTGTGCGGATATATAAAAAGCCAATCTAATTGATGAGCAGTTTTTGAATATATCTGTGGTCAAACATTGCTTTAAATTTTTATAAATCTTTTGAAATGTATTAAACAGCTTACCTTGAAACTCTACATAATTATGTGAGTGTAAAAGTTTTCGAGTGCTTACTTTAAAATGGGATTCAAAGTTCTTTTTCCGGAAAAGGTGTCTAAACTTGACGATGATGGAATAACTAGTTTAAAGAAATTATTTGATTTTTACTGTGGCGATTTGGATGGAGATTTTGAAGATGTTAAAATGGAAATAGATATTTGGTATAAAATTTGTTTCAACTTGAAACCTGAAGAGAGGCCAAAAAAAGTTTACCAAGCTATGCAGCTGTGTCGAAAGGACATGTTACCAAATATATTCAATTTATTTACCATTCTAGTAACTCTCCCCATAACAACATGCGAGTATGAAAGATCATTTTCATCACTCCGTAGACTTAAAACATATTTAAGAAGCACAATGTCACAAGGACGATTGAACGGTTTAGCACTTCTTTATTTGTATAGGGAACTCACTCCCACAGTGGAAAAAATTATAGACAAACTTGCCGAGACATCGAGGAAAATTGACATAAAAGTGTAAAAACTTCATGGAATTAAATAATTTATTTTTTTAAATTCTTTTTAAAATTTTGTATTACTTTTGAAAGCTGAGCGGATCTTGTGTTTGTAGAACTTTTGATTAAACAAGTAATTTCTAGGCAAAAACACAACTTCAATTCTCATATAAAAATTTAGAAGTACCATTAATTTCTTAAAAATGTTTGAATTCCTTGTTAATTTTATGTAAATAAAGTGCAATTTATGAAACTTTAAGAGAGTACCTATATTAATTTATTACATACTGTACATAAAACTTGCATAAATGTATTTTAAAGAGCGTATTATCTGAAGCTAAAATTCAGTATTTTCTGGTGGTATATCTTTAGAAGTATAAACCCCCCCTCCCCCTGGTTTTTGTATCTTAATCCCGTTAAACTAATCACATTTTCTTGCCAGCTACCAACAGGGTTGCTTAAGTAGCTAAAAGGAAATTTTACCCGAGTTGAGCGTTCCTTTGTCGCTCGCTTACAAAAAAATGCAGCTAATTTAGAAATTGTCAAAAATATGCCTTTTTATCAAAAAGTTGTTTACCAGGGTGTCTTTGACCTAGTGGTTGGTACTGAATTAAAGAATGCACACACATAAAAGATTACAACCTTTTCAATACTCATTCAGTGTTAAACCTTTTTTAATTTGGCATTGGTTTTTTCAAACTTGCCATGAATATGTTCATATTCATAGCTTAACCTCAATCTTAAGCGAACATAACCTCAATCTTATATTACGTTCAAATTGGCCCCATTTAACTTGTGAAATGAAAAAGAGCTTTTTGGAAAACACAATCGTCCACATTGAACATTTGGAGTTAACTTTGACGGTTGTTTGATTACCAATAAAAATTCGAAAAAAAATATTCAAAATCAAGTTTTTGTGTTTCAATTCAAAATGTTTAGTTCCTATGCACTATTTATCTCTGCGTACGATGAGACATCATGGGAAATAACTAAATACCGCCTTTGCCTCTTTTTTGGCGGGCAGACAGGCATACAATTTTGATATTTTTTGATAATTTTTAATATTTTGCAGAATATAAATTTTTTGAACGTTGGCGTGTCACTAGAAAGCTTTTGGGTCTTTCTTATTGGTCGGAGCAGAAGCTTTCTGATACAACTCTGCGCTGCTGCGCTGAACTGGTTTTCAAACGAGTTAAATGATTTAACTGGTTCAATTTCCCAACAACAAGTGCATGCGATTTAACTTGTTTATGAACATGTTTTTTTCATTTAACTGGTTTAAGCCTATTTAACATATTTAGCTCGTCAATTTGAACGTAGTATTAAGCGAAGAATAAGTAATGAAAACTGAATAGAAAAAAATTGTTGATTTAAAATTGAAAATGATTTCACACTTACACAGCTCTGGAGCATACATACATTAAACAATTATAACATTTCCTGAGCTTTCATTTGCGAGGATCTGAACAAAAAACAATGATTTATTTGTTTTTATCGTATGTGGCTAATAAAATTAGAAAATACCCATATATGTAATACTCCTATATTGGCAGTAAGAGCTAGTACCGTCCGAAAACACTACAGTACAGATATATCAATAAACACGTACGAAAGAAAAGGAACACATACGTTTATAAATAAACATGTAGACAACACATATACAAAAACGGCACTCAAGTACACAATACATTGACAAAAACGGTAGTAGACTGTCTCGCTTTGATTTCGGAATGCTTACACATTGAGAAGTTAGCTTACTGCCAATATAGAAGTATTACATATATGAAAATACCTAATTTTCTGAAACTTTAGTGGTATTTTCCATTTTTGTGTTTTATAAAATTTGCTTTCGGATGTCAACAAACAGCAGCTGTAATGGCAATTTGACTTTTTGCACATTTTTTGCCAGGAAAAAAGTTCTGGCTGCTTCGATCCAAATATGGAAAGTATTCGCTTTCTTCTACCGATTTTTCTAGCTTGAGGAACGTTTTCTGGGCATACATCTACTATCTTCACGATGCCTACAACGTGGCGATTCTGCAATGCCATAGGTACATTTATGGTAGCGTGTACTCGCCGCATCGACATCGCCGATAATTAACATGTTCCCTTTTTCTGTAATCGTACAATTCTCTAATATATATTTAAGTTTCGCCGCAGCCGACATTACTCCAATTAGTTCGGTCAAATAGGGACCCAAGGCCCTGAATAAACTCTTGAAAAGCACAGAAAAGTCCCAAGCCTTTTCATTTTGCCAATTAGTTCACCGTGCAATTTCACGAGAGCCATAGTACTCGGTTTTACCATATCACGCAGAGATCGAGTTCCTAGCATCTTTTGGAATTAATCGTGACGGACATCAAAACTTTAGCTCGACCTGACTATCCCTAAAAAAAATTAAGGCATCGGCTCCGAGTCTAATAACTGCGTCTACGTACCTCAACACTGCAGGGCTTTCAGACATTTACATATGTGCAAACCGAATGGAAGAAGGGACAAAAAACCAATATTCTTCTAAGACTAATTGATCATTGTTTCTTTTAACACAGTAGACTGAAGTCAAAGTATATATTAAATTCCATCAAATCCGTTGTTATTTCAGAAAGAACAGTTTCGGAAAGGAAAACAACTATAAGTAAACTACGTTTGATATACATAAGTTTCAAGCAGAATTCCATTTGCTTTCTTAGTAGGTACATTTATAGTACATATATAAAAAATGAAAACTGAAACAAATTGTGGGAACGTTTTTCCCAAACATATCTGACAAACATGCGTTACGAATACATACATACATATGTACATCTTAGCTAACATGTTTGCATGCATAAAAAACTAATGCAAAGTCCTAACTCAACTTACGTCCGAGTCAAATGAGGTAAGCTTGCTTAAAAGTGCTGTCCGCTTTTGCGCCAGCATATCCTTAAACATCTCCGTAGTCGACTGTCCATCCTGACTGTCGGCCGAAGACATACGCCTATTTGCAGCCGAAGTCGCTGCTGTGCCAACCATGTGCCCAGCACGATCAGTTTGTGAGGAACTTTTACGCGATTCCTGCGGCGATGCCCATTCGCTGCCCAAACCTGAGTTCGAATCCATAGGACTTGATGGAGAACGGAGATTCTCACGGCTTCCCATGGGACTTGTCGCATGACTGGATAGCAAACTCGAAGACATGTCGGTAGTTTCATTAAGCTCTTTGCTCCAATAGTGAGTGTGTGCGATCTCCATCATTTGAAATGCCGACGCCATGCCACCTAGCCCAAAATTGGAATAAGTGACCTCAAATCCAGCTGTTAGAGCCTGTAGACACTTTAACATGCCTTTCCAAACCGGTTTTGGAACACACTGCAATCGAATATTTTTAGCAATAAGGAGAAAACTATGCGAAAGTTAAATATCTGCATACACTTACCACATCGTCTATGTGATCGTCTGGCATAATTTTCTTGTCCAAAGTTTTATTGAGTTTACTCAGCACCAACGTACGATAGGATTCGTCTTCCATTAGTTTTTTTAAACGATTCATCTTCAACCAACCAACACCCTCTCCGGCTAGTACCTGTGTGATGACATCCTTCAAAAAGGTCTGATTTTCTGAATTACTGTGCGAGCGTTCTTGATTTTGTTGCCGCGTGATGTCTTCCTGCGTTTGTCCCGGCCCAGAGTGTTTGATGAGTGGTGTGCGTTCTACTAGACCTTTTCGACTTGGAAATGGGTCGAAATTAACACCCGCTTTTGATTTTTGCTGCATGTTGCCAGCACTCTGATGTACGCGGGGTTGTTGTTGTTGCTTTTGCTGATTCTCTGCGATTTTTATGCAAATAGTTTACTTTCTAAAGTTTATGTATTTGTAGTTAGCAGAAATTGGCTTACTTTTGCCACCGAACATGCCTGAAAACATGGTGGACGTCGAAGAGGCAATTCCATTGAAGTCGCTGCCAATCGATGAAAAAAAGTTGCCGCCGGAGCCTTGCATTTGTTTTTGTGTAGCAATTTGCTGCCCCGGTGCATGACTATGATCTTCCATCTTAATGATGCCCTTCTTGGTTGCCGCTTCCTTAGCAGTTTTCGTAAGATCGCCAATGGTGGACTTGCTGACGTAGGTCAAATCGTCGAAGGTATGTTTGCTGACGCCAGCAGCCTGCTTGGAAACTTCTAAAGCTTGCTTGGATGCTTCTCCGGCAGCTTTCTTAGCGTGCAGCGTAAACTGTGCCGTCAAGGAATGGAAAGTTTATTAGAAAGGTTTTTTCTACATTCTTTTGGTGCAAAAAGAAAAGAAAGTGAGAACTGAGATATTACTTATGTAAAACAGGCAAAATAGAAAAGAATAATTTGAACAGTGATCATAATACTCGATAGAGATTGTTGTGAGTCTCGTGCGTGATTCAATGTAAAAAAGCGCGATACCAAGTACTTTGTGGTAGAAGATAATGTGATCCTTTTTGAAAAATGGTGAAAATGTTTATTTCTAAGTATTGCATCTAATATTTTTTTAGCGAAATTCGAAACCTCTGATCATTTGCTATGTTTTACTTCAAGAATGGCTCTTTAAGTTACAAACCTTTTCAAAAGTGTGTCGCATTTTTTCGTCAAACTCTTCTGGTATACTACCTTCCACAGAATGTTGCTAACAATAATTGTTTTCAGAAACCAAAGATTATGTTAAATTAAATACCAAAATAACAAAGTTAAAGAACAAAACAGCGCGTAGACAGTTAAAACCGTGGACCGTGCAAATTTTAAAAGTATCTACTACCATTTTAAATTCTAAGTTGCTTGAAAAAATATAAATTTTATTTCGCTTACTGTTTACAGTACAACAAACAACCCGCCTTCGATGTAACACATGGAATGGAATCATTCTAACGAAGTTTAAATTTCTATTCAATATGAATAGAAATACTTATGTATATATATACATTAGGGAGGTTTAAAAATAAGTACATTCGGAAGTTTTATGCTACAACCCCGTTTTATGCTACAACCTGTTTTTTTATTTCAAAATCAAAAAATATTTAGTGGTCGCTCAAAGCTCTTATAGTTTTCCATGTACTTTATATGGGAGAAAATTTTTCGTAGAAATGGTATAGAAACCTTTATTTTTCGATCGGGAAACTCTTTTTCTCTTCAATTTCTTCCAACAATTATACCTAATTGGGTACTATTATTTTCCAACCTAAAAATATGGGCCGTCAAGAATTCTATACCATTTCTGCGAAAAAAAAAAATGTTTTTCCATATACGTGAAAAAATTTGAGGCGCTTTGAGCGACCTCTACGTATTATTCTGATTTAAAAATAAAAAACAGGGGTATATTTTTTTGGTAAATAAAAAAAANCTTTGAGCGACCTCTACGTATTATTTTGATTTAAAAATAAAAAACAGGGGTATATTTTTTTGGTAAATAAAAAAAAGTACTAGGGAGTTGTAGCATTAAAATACCAAAAAATACCGACTTACTTATCTTATGAACGCCATAATGTACATAGTATATATGTATTTTATGTGTATCAGAACAAGTTTACATCCCACACAGCTCGCAACGAGGTCGAAATAAGTAATTTATATTCTCATACAGTCTGATCTAGGCATATTGACTAATACTGGTATTCAGTAAGGCAATTTCAGCTTAAGTCACTAAATGTACGACTATCAATTAGTGAATCTTTTGAGATGATTTGTGTATTCAGTATGAGAGAGTCACAAATTTATTGTGAACGACTCAGAGTCAGCCGACAAATTAGTGACTTTTTCTGAGACTAGAGACGTGAGATAGCTTACTGACCAAATGTTCTAAAAATAGATAATCACCACGAAAAGTCACTATTAGTGACTAGAGACTGCTTACTGAATACAAGGGTGAAAGCACAGTGAATTTACAGTCCGTCAGCCAACATTCTCAGAGTAGCCATAAAGATTACCTTACCGGTTTGAAATTTATTAAAATGTTGATATTATCTTAATATGTGTATGTATTCAAATTTTAGAAAAAGACAAAATAGATATATTGTTCGGACCATTTTAAAATATGGGAAAAGATCGACTGGGATCTGCGGCTCGCTGATGTTACGGGCATAAAAAAGGCCGATAGACTATCCAAGGAAAGCACTGTACCGATTTTAATATAAACGTTTTAGCACAAGTCACAAAATAAGTCAAGTCTCGCTAGAGATCCACAGGATGGTTGATATAATTACTGGGCAGCATTTTACAAGACACCAGCATTAAAACATCCACAAATTCGCAAACGACTCTCAATCCTGCTTAAATAAGCAACTCTTATTCGACTGGCATAAATGGGCCGTGGGATTCCGTCTCCCAATTACTCCGTACGGCCGCGGAAGAGATTGTTGGTTATTACGGGTAGCCACCGCGCAGAAACAACTGGTATAACGAAAAGTGCCAAGCAGCTGCTGCACAGAAATACACAACATAAAAAGCTACCCTGCAGCCAATGGCGACAATGTATAAGGACAAACCTCACGACCCTTCACTCTACCAAAACTAAGTGAGAACAGCACTGGTCCAGAATCGGCATAAATATACTACTGATGCGGGCTGTTGTCTAACCACATCATTGGTATACCAAAAGGCATAGCCTTCTTCTTTTCACTTTTCCATTGCAAAACACTTGAATAGCAATTAAAGCAAACTTTTTAGGAGCATAGTTTACGTCAGTGATAAACTCTTGCGAGAAATATTGTTTATAGGCTTCCAAAAAACAATCACTCGCATTGCCACATTTTTCATCGCTTGCTATGAAACGTCCACAAACATTACAAAAATGGTCCATTTTACATTTTGGTTCCGACAGTTTTAACACAATATATATTATACAATGTTGTTTTTGTTATTTTTATGAAACCGATGCACTTAACTTAAATCACTCACAAAATGAAATAAGTTCCAAAAAAATTAATAGCGAATTTTATCACGACCGAGCGAAAATTAAAAGACATCAGCTTCGGCTGAGTTTCGAGTCTTAACTGAATCTTTATTTTTGATATTAGTTCGCTTGTACGAAATAAATAAAAATCGCTACCTGTGCGGTAGTTGGAAACAAAAAAGGGGAAGACGAGGAAAAAGAAGAAGAAGGGGAAGACATTTATTGCATTTGACTGCAAAATTCGAAGGTCGATTAAAAAAAAATTCGAACNGGAGACGAGGAAAAAGAAGAAGAAGGGGAAGACATTTATTGCATTTGACTGCAAAATTCGAAGGTCGATTAAAAAAAAATTCGAACTAACATAAACAAACGCCGCGATACGGGTCTTCTAATTTAGCCTCTATTTTCACCCCTCACTCTCAGAATCGACCTAACTTTTGCTAACCTGAATTTGTTCCACAGTGTTGTTATAGCAGTGCAAAATATGCATAACTGTACTATTAGTGTTGTGCTTATAGCTGAGTGCGCAAATATGCTTGCCACAATTTGTTGATATCCAGAGAGGGTCAGGGTTCGAATTCTACTACAGGCAACATGCAAAGACGTTTGTAGTAAGATCAATTACATTTCTGATTGCTTTTAATATTATTTTCCCTCAGTGTAACTGGTGCCAATTGGAAACATCAACAGGCCTATTCTGAGTTGGTAACAAAAATTTTGTTACCAATAAATAAAGTTCCTGGTAGATTTTAAACCCTTTTCGCATTGTGCGCACTGGTAAATTTTGTTAACATCTCATAAGCAGGTAACAAAATATTGCCCTGTGAAGTATGCAACACCAGATTTCATAGCTGAATTGTTGAAATGATTAAGTTGTTACCAAGGTACTTAGAATTGCGGTTACAAGCAGTGGTGTTATTTTTTGGTAACAAACTTATCCGATGTCAAAATGTTCGGTAACAACCAGAATAGGCCTGTAAGTGAAGCCAATTACCACTCAACCTGGTCCTTCCTTTCCTCTGCAACTAGCAGTGGGCACCACATGCATGTCCTAATCAGCGTAGCTGCGGCATTTTAAAGCTCAGCGTCTCTTGCAGTCACAAAGTGTGACTTTCGCTAGTCAAAAGAAGATTTTGCTGCTAGATTGCCTAGTCAGCCCAAAGTAGAACTTGTTAGCAGGAGGGCGTACATTCTCTTTATGTTTTTATTTGGCGATTTTCGAATTCAGGAAACTGAAAATCAAATAGAATTAATTTTACGTTTTGAAAATGGCAGCACTGATTGACTTATTTGGTTTGATCTGCGCATTTGTGTTAGTGGTAAGCGTAAATGTATTTATGTACGTATATATGTACATATACATATATATAAAGTCGTGAATGCTTTTTTATTTGCTACTATGTATGTATGTATTTTGAAGAGGCCCCTGCAGAACACCGATGTTTTTTCGATATAAAATCAGTTTATAGGACATTAGACGCCAAATTCAATAAATATGTATTTTGCAAGTATATACGAGTAAATACGGGTATATATATATATATATATATATA